ATAATGTATAATATAATCTCTTACTATAATGTATTGCCAATTTCTTATTTTAAAGATTTTACACAATGAAAGATTTAATTTTAAAATTTTATTATATATTTCTTATATATATATATTTTTTTTATATATTTATTATATATTTCTACATTGTTAAAAATATTTTTTTTTTCTTCAATTATTTAGTTTAGTTAAATTCTTAAGGAAATTTATTCATAATTTTATTATTCTTTTTTATTTTTTTTTAAAGTAGATAAATATCTCATTATTTTTTGCTTGATTTATTAGTACTATTGATATATAATATTTATCATTCGAATTGATTTTCTTTTTTTATCACATTAATTAATGCTTTATTTATTTATTAATGCTTTATTAATTAATGCTTTATCTTCACATTTTATTTTGAGAAAATTTATTTCTATAATTTTAATATAATAAACTTATAAAAGACAAATTTAATTTTTTAATTTCATTTCTATTCTAATTTTTTAATTTATTTTATATATTATTTTAAAATCATTAATATCCAATTTTAATTCGTTCAGAGAATAATATTTTCATGTCACTTATTTCTTTAAAAAATAGTTTCTATTATTCCATGTGTTATTCTAATGTAAAAGTGAAAATTTGTAAAAAAATGAAAAATTGATAGATGCAATTATTTGTATTATCTTTAGAACTACATGATAATCGATATCGTCAGATATTAGTATATTTAATGACTTATTTCTAAGAATTCTGTAAAAATCCGGCTTAAAACTCAAAAAAAAAAAAAAAAGAAAAAACATTAACATTAAAATTGTATTTTATATATTGCTTATTTCTTTTTATTAGATTGTTGCATATTGTTTTCGGAATTTTATTTCAGACATTTTAAAAAAGAAATACTCGAAAATTGTTTTAATTTTTATATTTATATAATTATTATATTTTTATTTTATTATTTTTTACATATATATAATTATATTTATATTTATATAATATTTATGTTTATATAATTAAGTTAATATTAGTTATATATATTTATATATTTATATTTTAATTATATATATATTTATATAATAATTATAATTATAATTTGCAAAAATATAATAGCCTAATATTATGAAATATAATTAATATTAACTTTTTAGGTGAAAAAGAAAATAATTTTAATAATTAATAAAAAAAAATATATAAGGAATAATATTATTTCGATTCTAAAGTGGAAGAGAGATAAACTTTATAGAGGATTAATAAATCCAAAAGATCGAAATTATTTATATAGGAGAAAATGAATCTTCATGAACAAAGAAAATTTGATCAAAAATCATTAATTCTTATATGACATATAGGCGATATCTGTAAGTTATATAATCTTGTTCCTTCAATTATACTTAGTAATTTCATGCTTATCGTTGAAATGTAATGAAATCGTATATTCAAAAGAACAGTGGCTAAGTGTCTGAAGCTTTTATAGTAATTATACTATATAGTTATTAGATATGTAATGTATTTTGCATAACTATAAGATTTCATAAGATTTAACTATTAAACATAAATATATATGAAACTAATATATGTGAAAAAAATATACTTACACATTGATTTATTTATTAAATTTTATTTGAAAGTATAAAGTTTTATGAATTAAATATATAAAGTTATTAAAATTTCTAAAAAATTCTATATATGGATTTCAAAATATAATTTTTACAAGAACAAAAAATTATTAATTAAAAATTATTAATCTTTCAATTTTAAGAAACATAAATTAATAAAGATAATGATTTTATAAAAGATTTTATAAAAGACAATAATGTCTTTGAAAAATATAAAAATATCTTAAAATACAATTTTTAAATTTTATTTAATTTATTTAAAATTACATATTGAACATAGAATTGAATAAATTGAAAAGAATAATTTTCATATTAAAAGGATCATTATTAAATTCATTATTACGAGAAATACTTCAAGACACAAATTTCGATAAAACAATAAAACAAACAAAAAACAAAATAAAAGAATAAAACTCAAGGTTGCACGTGTTCAGTTAGAGCGCGAAAACTTGTCGAGGGCATAAAAGATCCAGCAGCTGGATCTATTCTAAGGACTTCAGAAGTTAGACAAAGCAAGAGGAACCTTGTCTAAAGGGGTGCAAGATTGTCTGGTATAGAAATACGATGAATTAGTCCCTTGAAAGTCCCTTCTAGTTTGGACCAGATGCCTCTTTTGTACGATGTCTTCTTGTCATAGAATTGTCAATTAACCATTCTACGTGACGCAATTTTCATCATGAAACGTTAATAATCATAAAAGAAAAATCTAGTTTATGGAATTCAGGAAATTTTTAATTCTCTTCCTATAATATTACGTTAATGCATAATATTCTTTCGAGATAAATTCAATATCAATATAATTTGTTTTTATATAATTCGTAATTTTATCATTTCTTTAATTTCAGTTCTAAAATCTATTGTGGCACAGTTATCAAAAAAATTATCAATGAAGAGAATGAGAAAGAAAAACGAGACGAAAAAATTTTATAAGTTTTTTAAATAAAATAACATAAAAATGGAAACAATATTGCAATATTTTATGATTTTAAAATGACTGAAATATGATTTTATCGAAAAATATTTACATTTATAAATAAGAATTTTAATTCAATACTTTTTTACAATCTATTCTATGCACATGCAAATTAACATCAATAACATTATGATGAATCAATCATGATTCATATTATTTCTGCAATTAATATTAATTGAACGATATTTTCAGGGATGACAGTTTGAGTACATGTAGTCGAAGAAAAGAAGAAACACGAGTTCGCAGGAAAAATCTTGGGAAAGCACGTATTGCTCCATAACGATGACGGGTGCTTCCCTCTCTTTTTCAAGGAACTTGCAATCATTATCCTAGATTGCATTAATATTGTTTCATCTACTATTTTCTCTCTCTGTCTCAGTAAATGAAACTGATTCACAGATTGTCACGATTCTAAAACATTCGGATATTCATAAAGTCATTCATAAAAATCGTGTTTTCAACTCATCGTTGAATATTAAATCACATATATTCTGTTAAAGTAAGTTAAAATATTCATTATTATTTCTAACTAATATATGTATATAGCAATTTAATAAATGAAAATTTATTTATCATAAATAATTAAATTAAAATTTTTAATAATGATTAATTTTTAATAATTAATTAATAAGTAACAAATCTATTCATTACTTAATATACATGTAATTACTTCACAAATATTGGAGAGAATAATTTGAAAATCATAATCAAAATCAAAATAAAAATGCAAAAAAATTCTTATTATAACAATTTTAATCAGAAATCTGGATCAAGAAACTGTAATTCATGATCCATCGATGGAGAACGTTTAAAGTTGATTATCGAAATTTTATAAACCTGACACGTTCAATGACGCAGTTTAATTACATGACAAGCAAAAACAGGATTGCTCGACCACGACAAAGCGTAATTTGATTACTCGTCGGTGGATGGAACGCTGATGCCATTGGTCGATGCAATTTCGATCGATCTTCGATTTTTCATCCCACAAACAACATTACATCTTCCAAAATATAATTACTCTGTTACCACTTATGATATTCGAAGAAGCGGAAATAGCAATTAAATAATATTTGAAATTTACTTAACCGTTTTTATTATATCAATCGCTCTCTATAATTTACCATATTAATATGTTTATACCGAATAAAATTTAAATTTAAATAAAAAAACATAGTAATTATGATGCATGAATTAACAGACAGCATTATCTTGTAAATTATTGCCTACTGTATCTGACATAAGGTATTTTACGAGCGGTTGAGAATGTAAATTTACCACATGCTCGCACGTGAGCATATACCACGGTTAATAGTCGATAAAGCGGTCGATACTGATTGGCGTGGTATCGTGCAGGTGTACCACTTTTACGTACCACATGATAGACGTGTGAAGCATTGAAGTTCATCTGGTAAGCCTCTGGAGCACGTATTTTGATATATCAATGTTTATTTGATTTTAATGATATAAGATTTTTTTATCTACTATATATAATATTAATTGGAAATAAAATTTATATAATATTTTATAAAATATATAGCTGATGTATCTTAAAAATTATAAAACATGATCATATGGAGTAGATTTCTATAATTGTAATTTGCATTAATAAAATTATATATAACTTGGATATTTGTTTAAAAGTCATATATATATATAAATTTTAATCATAATATATGAATTCTTATCATTCGTAATATGACATAAGCAAAAAATTATACTGATGAGTTTATACTAACGCTTATTAAAAATGAATGATTTATGTATTAAGTGATAGCAACAGCAAGTAATTTTTTCTTGAATATTTTAAATTTTTTATTCACATGTACGTACGTCATATATGTAGCGTCATTCAATATTAGAATTAAAATATATTTTTACTTTAACGTGCTTCCAATTTCAATTTCTATAAATTTTAATTGAATTTTCTAAAATCTAATAAATTATTTCTTAATTCAATAATCTACTGAATCTTCAATATAATACTAATTCAGTTTATTTTATTTCAGATAATTACTATAAATCAGGCTAGAAATTTGCAGTTTTATTTTCCCAAAAGAAAAACTCATTCATCAGTAAAGGATCAGTAACCTTTGAACTCTTCACACTGGGCTACTATTCGATCAACATTCATATAACATGTAATAACCATTCACTATTCATTTTAAACGCAAAAGACGTCGCTAGTTACTTGCCGCGAAATCGTCTTCGACAACATTCAAGATAATAATTGTCAGAAAGGAACGACCGATAGATAGACTGGTCGATAGAGCTTAGGGTGGCATAGCGTGGTTCATACTCGTGTTCCGTATACACACGAAGCTGCGATACACGCGCCATACGCGAGCACACAGAACCACTATGGGGAAAGAGAGACAGAAAAAGAGAGGCAGAGAGAGAGAAAGGGAGAGGGCAGACGACATGCGCCGGCCCTCGTTGCTGCATGTTATAATGTTCGAAGCCCACGAACAGAACGAACGTTGGACGACAGTCATTCAGAGCTCGACCAGTGTGCCGTACGTTTCGTGGCTCCTCTCATCCTCGTGCTACATCGTGTTCGTTCACATCCGCCCTCGGTTCCCGGCATCGCCGATTAGACTACCTGAGAGCCGTCAATTAACCAAAACAGGAACTAAAAATACAGGAAAGAACGATGCTCTGAATGTGATCATCGCGTTCACATCGGACATTTATTTCCCGATGATTTTTCTCTATGATGCGCTAATAGAAAATAGACATTAGTGACCAGTGATATTTGGAAACACTAGACATCTCTAAGGGGTTAAATAGTTTCCTCCGAATACATCTGAATATTCGGTGAGTAATTTTCAATGAATTTTTATTGTTGATGTTTAATATATATGGAGAGTTGTACAAACGTGATGAATATTGAATGAAAACTCAAAAATTCAATGCGAATCACTGTAAATATATAAAAGTTGAGTAATCGTTGAGTAATCTCATTAGATTAGTCGATAATGTTACGAGCTATATTATGCAAGTTGTGTTATGGCCACTGACGCCATTGGAGTCAAGAAATAATATATTATTTCTTAAGAAAATTAATGAAATTAAAGAGTTTATTGACTGAAATGTTTTGAATTTTTTTTAAAAATAAGTTATCAATGTTCTTTTATAAAATATTACGACAGTTTCTGTGATTAATGTAAAAGCTATGATGGAAAACATTCGGATACAGTGGTCGGTTGAATGAAAACAACCCTCTTTGCAGAGATGTCGCTAGTTCTTTGGCAATGATCCCTTTTTTTTTTTTTGCTGAATCGTAAGATTCTTTGTTTGACGTCAGATTCTGTGATGTGATAAGAACGTAGGATGAAAACTGGGTTCGGAAAACCCGGTCGGCGACCCACGTGGTCTATTGATTTTTTCGCCCGCCACGCCGCTACATTCACGCTAGTGGAAACTGGCCTTTTCTTCCATCATCGGTTAGCGCACCCTATAAATATTATATTAATTTTGTTTTTTCATATCATATATAATTCTTTTATAAAAATCAAATTTATGATATTTGTTGAACTTAATTTATATAATTTATTCAAATATTTATTTTAAAATTATTTATATATTTTTAATAATAATTTTAGTAAGTATTTTATATAAAAACTATCGAATATCAGACCATAAGATTAATTTTTTATCCAAGCATATATCTTATAATAATCATTAATCGTTTATATTTTAATATTAGCCTATTCTAATACTAGCTATATATTATTTATTTTTTATTAAAAATTTTTCTTACTTTTTTCTACTCATTTTTTTTTACTTTTTTTTTTACTATTTTCTTATTTTCAAATTATGCGCTATTATTTAGCCCATGTTTCAGTTCTCGCAGACAAAATACAAATTACAAAATAAATGACAAAAATATAAATTATTTTCTTCAAAACGGTATATCAAGAAATTTTTTCATCTAATTGATTTAAAGATTATATTGAAAATAATACTATTTTTTATATGCATAATTATTATATTATACCTCTGAATTGCAATTTTAATAACTATAATAATTATAGTATATAACAATTAATATTCAATAATAATTAACATGTAATATTAACTTATATGTAATTATATAAATAATTATGATTTTTTATTAATAGTACAGCTAATTGAGTTTTATATAGCTTTTATTTTCATTATAAAATATCATTTCAAGTTCATTTAACTTTCATTTTGAAGCTTCTGTTCACGATCGTAATTAATAATTTACAAAAGATAGCGATAAATGTTCGTTGTTAATTAATTATAAACTAGATTTTCGAGCTGAATATGTTATCAAGCAATCGTGTTGGGTGATATAATATTACAAAATACTCCTCGTCCCTTATCACAACAATCGACTTGCAAACGGATCGATAACACATCCCCAACGTGATTCGAATATACGTTTAGTTACCATTTCTGACAGGTACCTATGTAGGGTCGATAGCGTGTCGATGGTAAACATACAATCTGATACCTGAGAACAGAGATCTCTTAATCACAGGTTTACAAATATTATCTATACAAATTTTGAAATTTTAAGAGAATATAATAATTTGAATAAAATAAAGTATTATAAATTAAAGAATACAAATGATAAAATTTCCATATTTATTATATTAAAATATAAATTGTTTACTTAAAAGAAATATTAAAATTAAAATAAAATTTAAACTAAATTGTTTAATAATATTTATTAATGTTTCTTCATATCTGATATATTAAAGTACAGATTATATAAAAATAGTAATGAATTAAATAAACTTGATAAATTTAAAAAAATAAAAAATTAATGACAAGTATATTAATGATTATCATTAATCATAATAATAAAAAATTGATAAATTTCATAATCCATATCAATCATTTTTGATATTTCATAGATTTTTCTGCAATATTTCGTACATATATTGTATTGACTTTGGTTTTAAATGTTGAATGATTGATGTTGAAAGAAACAGAATTTTTATAATAATTATCGTGTCATGCAAAGGGATTGATATGATGTTATCTCTTAGTAAACTTTTTTAAATAGAAGTTACATTCCCGTTACACGGAATAACAGGGTTATGGTTGTCGGTGTAAGATCAATAAAAACTGATGTAATGTTCCACGAATGTTTCGGGAACCTTCAAACTGGTCGGAATTCTTTTCGAATGCACGTGCATCAAACTATTATGACCTGAGCGGGACGTTTTTTTCTATTTGTTCCTCAAATTTTTAATTTATAATAAAACGACAATATTAATTCAAAATAATAATTAAAAATTTTTTTAAAATTTAAATCTATTTTAATAGATTATTTTCAATAAAAATAAAAATTTGATTTAAAAAAAATATATAAAAAATTTCTTTTATTTATCTATAGAAAATTGAAAATGTTTTTGTATATTTTTTCATTCATTACATTTTATCATTATACATATATTACCTTATAAATAATAAAGTTTTTTATCAAAAAAATATTTTCATAATTTCATACTGAGTCATTTAAGTGTAAAATATAGTAATTAATTTTGTTTTTTTATTTCTTATCAAAATATGAAGGTCATTTTGAATTTTATAATTGTAATATATGATATTTAATTATAAGGTTCGAAAAAATATTAAATTTTAAAAAATTATAACAAAACTATAACAAAATTCATATTATATATATATATCATAGTTTTACAATTATTTTTAATATAATTTCGATTAGATAAAATACATTGTTATATATTATTATATTATATACTATATGATATTGATAAACATTGAAATCGTTGAATATATAAGAAAAGGATTTCTAGATCGACTATAAACAAATTCGAAACAAATTTTCCATATATACAGCCGAATAGAGTATCAAATGTGTGATACAATTAGTTTTCGTGTGTATATATCGATACGTATGCGTGTGTGGTTCAACGACAGGCTTGAAGCAATACAAGTGCCAGACTGTTAGAAGATTGAATTAAAAAGGATACTTGTGAGTTTCTTTTCATTAGAAGCTAGAAAATAAATTATGAAATCAGTTTTTGATGATTGATATTTTAGTATATTTAAAAATGCACATTAAAAAAATTCGAAAAAAAGATTAAAATAAAATAAATAATTCCCTTACTTAAAATAAAATATCTTTGAAAATTTTTAAATTTATTAGCTGTATTAATTAAATTTTCTTATAAAATAAATTTAATGATAATAATTATAATATATTAATTGTATAAGAATATTGTATTGTGTATGCTTAGTCCTGTAAAAGAAATACGACTTTATTTTGAATAAATATTTAATATAATATATAGATAATAAACATATAATATATATATATACATATAAATTACATATACAAATACGTAAAATTATATATATAGCATCGTTTATCAAGAGCAGTATCATTTGTATCTTCTCACGAGATTTCTTAAGACACGCACAATACAATTATGTAATTAACTTGTTCAAGATTTTTAATTATCTCTTTCTTTTCCTTATTTGTATTCGTAGAAGCAATCATCAGATGATAAAAACAATACGAGAAATGCACAAACAATAAAAAAAATTCTAATAATAACGTCATTTGTTCGAGATGAAATATTAAAAATAATCGTAAGCTTTAAGCAATTTTCATTTAGTGTGATTTGTTTTTATACTATAAATATCCTAAAGGATGTCGAGTTAAGTTACAACTTTATGATTCAACAAGTAGTTGTCACTTGTTCCAATACAAATAAGCTATTTATCTATATTTACATATATTGACAGATAAGGCAACAAAATACATATACGAGGAAAAAAAAAGGTAAATATAGAGAGAAAGTTCAAAGTGAAATTTTTTATCTTTCTGGATTTTATGATTAGGATTTTATGATATAGGATTTTTTAAATATATCTTGTTATTAAAATGAAATACTATATATTATTGAATATTTAATGGCATAATCATTATTAGTAAATCATTGTTCTTTAGTATCCTTCATAAGTTTTCAATTCATTACTGATCGAAATTTAATATACTCCTCAAATCGTGATTTGTTTTGTTTTATGATTTATTATACAACATAATTTGACATTTGATTCTAATCGTGTTCAATTTCAGAAATACATATACATAATATTTATACTGGATTATTGAATATTGTCTAAATTATCCTAATTAATTATAAGAATTCAGTTGTAATTTTTCATATATAGTTATATTTAATCATTGATATTATATGATATAATTTATTATAAAGTCTTTATGACTTTCACGTATTTTATTATCAATAATTATTTTGATAATTTTACGGCGTTGCGAACTTACGTACGATATTTCGATACTTTAATATAGAAATTATTCTATATCAATCGATATCAAAAATATCGATGTAACTATTTCCGATGTAATCAATGAAGTGACACGCAAAATAATACATCATTATAACAAATTCTTAAACTTTCCTTTTTAATTGATAAACTATTGGTGAATCAATAGAAAATTTTGAAAAATAAAAAACTGTAACTTAATCAATAAATCGGTTCTTTTTTTGTGGTTAGGTTATGAATTGCGCGTTGCGGTCATATAGATGCAATTACAATTCGCCTTTCGATCGTCCATGTAAATGGCGAGCGCAGCAGGATCGACTATCGATTCCAGCCATTTCCTTGTCGATAGTACATACGATATCTTCTTATATACGTGTTATCTTATTATTCGTTTCTTTTCCATCCCGCTTTGCTGACGATTTACGTTGATCTTGCCTATTTCATTCAATCACGTGTGTATATTTCTCGTTTATTGACCCATAGTGTAAAGGTCGGTTTCCATCAGCTCATCCATGCATATCCAATAAGAAAGGATTTTGTGGATCAACAGAGAAGCAAGATGCGAAACACATATGGAACCTTTGGTATGTCAAATGGATTAATTTCGTATTTTATCGATAGTTTTTGCTCTTTATTATTTAAAGTAAAAATGAAACAAATCAGTACCAGAGGTTATGTTTGGATTAACACTAATTTAAAAATTTGTAAAACGATTAGAATTCATTTTATTATATTCCTTTTTGAGATTGTAAAATTTCATAATATTCTAAAAGATTCTAATTTAGATTAATGAATAAAATTGTTTATCTGTTTGAAATTATTTTCTTCGTTAATGATTTAAAATTAATATATTTCTTTTCGTGACTATTTGTCAAGAGCCAGGAATTTTCTTTCGAGACTTGTGATTGATTGACTTGTATAGCGTCATTGTCAGCAGGAGAATTAATGTGAAATATTTGCCGATGAAATCTGTGATAGAACGTAAATATCTTAGTTATTTATGTACAAGAATGACAACATGTGTTGATTTCGATGTTTTTTCTTTGTCTTGTTTTTCCTCCTTTATCGATATTCATGTATTTTTTATTTAATACACATTTTTATATGGCCTATAAAAAAAATTTAATAACTATAGTCATTAATCAGAATTCAATTCGAAAGATTAAAATTGATTTTTATAAAAAGGTTTCTTACAATTATTTAATTAAAAATTTATTATTCAATCATTCTGAAAAATTAAAATAAATCATAAAGAACATCATAAAATGCAAATGAAAAAAAGAAAAAGCGAGATGAAGTTAATTTTTACTCAAATATTACTTATATTATTCATAATTACGAAAATAATTAGGAAACTCGTAATACAGTTAAATTGCTAATTTAAAAATGATAAATAGCGCGGGTTAAACAGATACCGGGTTAAGAACTGGTTTGTTACCTTCATCGAGGTAATAGAAAGGCGTGTATCGACGTTCGCAGACGCGATTGGTCGATCGATATCGATTCGAGAATAAAATTAATATGAGAAGCGTTCAGTTTTTGTAATTTAAGTATATTGCAGAGTATTTTGTCTACTTTAAATGATATTAGTCAAAAAATGTATATTGATCAATGTATTTATGATTGAATCTTGGATGTAATTCAATATAGATGAGGTATGTGCAGATAAATTAATCAATCAATAAATTTAAACGTACATTTTCTCGATTACCGAATTTAACATTCGTTTTCAATTTTAATTTTATTATTGCAAGAAATGACGTGCGAGATTAAATTTAATATAAATAATTTTTGGATTTATTAAGAGATTTTAATTTTTTATTTTATAAATGAGAAAAGTGTTATAATTTTTTCTAAAATTAAGATGATATGAAATTATAGAAAATTGACATTTATGATTTTTCAATAGTACAAATAGCGTGATATTTAATTTTGGAATAATGTTTATGTATGTTGTTATTCTATGTAAAATAATATAAATATATAATATAATGTTTGAAGTAAATCATGAATAATTTTATTTCATTTTAGTAATTACATTTATTTTTTGGCTTTTTTTAAATGAAGAAGATAAGAACATATTTATTAGAGGTTGCAAGAAATTTTTCATACATAAACATATATGATCATGCTAATTAAAAATGTGCACAATTGTGTTACAAAGTATAATATGATGATTACAATAATGATATGTATTGAGTATAATATGTAGCAGATATTAGATCGAAAAAAAAATTTATCTTTTCAATTATATAAAAAAAATTTATTTAAAATAAAAATGACATCGAAGAAAATTCAAAAAAAAGTCAATAAAATATATTTCAGAATCATAAAGTTTGTATAAAGTTTGTATAATCTTCCAATTAATATTAAATATTTCAGAAATTTTTGGAATTCAGCGCATAAATAATATTATAAAGACCGATCAGATGATAGAAAGGTGTGTGTTAACGTTCATAGATACCATTGGCTAATTCCATGTTCGCGAAGGAGTGTTTCTATTAAAAAAAAAAAAAAAGAAATAATTATGACACGATCAGCTGGCAAAAGTCACGTTTCATATGCTGTTCGCTAACCGATCCTGTTTGATAACAATCTATTCATGCCTGTAATTGATTAATCATGCAAATACAATATCTTAATATTGGTATATATTTTATTTAAAATTATAATTTTTACAAGTGGAAATTTTTTTAAATTATCATTATAAAATATTCAATTTTCTCTCCTTATAACTATTTTAAATAAAAAAATATATCATATAAATCAAAAATATTAAATGCTAATAATATGCAAACAATATGCAAATAAGACTTTTAAAGAAAATATTATAAAAATTAATAAATACTATATTGAATAGATCATGGATAGAAAAAAATAAGAATATTTTTTTTATTTAGATTATTTTTGAATACATTTCCTTAAAAAATGTTTAAATAGAACTGTAACTGCATTGAAAAATTAAAAATTTTAATTTTGTTGAATTTTAATATTGTTTGTCTAATTAGTTTTATTCCATTTGTGAAAATTTAAATTTAGAAAAACAACATTTCATATGCACTAAAGATAACATAATGAAATTAGATTAGATAAATTAGATTAGATAATAAAATAATCAATTAAATAAGTATAATGACAAGAAAGATTAATTTATTCTTTATTTTTTCGATTAATAACATTTCCTGTTAATTAAAGCAATTATTGATGGCATATATTTATTTGAAACTAATTCGTATCTTGGAAAACATAACTAACTTCTTATTATTATAATAACATCAAAAAAAAGCAACACATTAATGAAAAAGTTGATTGAATCAATATATTGTATAATATATATTGCATAATATAATATATTGCAAATTATTATATATTTTATAAAAGAAAAAAATTGTTCTATTCTTAAATTTTAAATCAAATTTCCTAAAAATTTTTTTTTCAAATTTTTTGTGACATTTTTTTAATAAATGAAATTTCAATTTATTTATAAAAAAAATTATTTATAAAAATTATTATTATAATAAATTATAATTATAATAAATTATAATTATTTATAAAAAAAATATTTCAAAATATTTATTAAATAAAATTAATAAAAAATTAAAGCTATATGATATATTTTCTATTCAAAAGATAAAAAAGTGTTCATTTATTTATATGTTTTTTTTTCTAGCTGATAAGTATCTTTTCACATGGAAAATTAAAAAAATGAATTGGTTATTTGGGTTACAAAGTAAAAGCCGCAGTAACTTACTTTGTATCAAATGCATTATTCAGAGCAAAGAAAATAAAACTAGATGGAAATTCTACTGATAAAAGTAGAGTAGCAATGAGTTGAGATTTTTCCAATTCTTTTTCTCCATGCTTTTTATCTAATGAATTGGGAATAAAAATTCACTCTCTTGATTATGATATTTCATACGATGCTTTTTTCACATTATCAAATTTGATCAACAAGTGTTTTTTATTTTAAGAGAATGGTTGATAAAAATGGAAAAACAGCTGGAATTTTTCTTTCATTGAATGATCGAAATTCGAATAGGATAAATGATATAATAGAATATAGAATATAAATAATAGAATAGAATAATAATAGAAGTTTGGCATAGAATTTCTTTGTAGTTTTTCGATTTTTTAATGATATTAGGTAATAATATATAAACCTTTAAGAAAGTCAAAAGACTTAAAAGTTTTTTATTGCAATTATTTTTATTTTTATAATTATTTACATAGAAATTTGTACAATGAAATTTTTTTGCTTATTTATATTTAAATTTATTTATATTTAAGTTTATATTATTATATTATAATTATAATAAGAATATAATTTTGTAAATAAATTTTGTTCTTTTTAGTTAAAAAAACATCTTCTTATCTATTATTTTCTTAATTTCTATATTGTAATTGCTGTATTTAAAGTTTTATATACTTTTTGCCTAATAAACAAAGTTGGAAGCTCGTATGAATTTTTAGAGATTTAGAAATGATCTTTAATAAATAATTAGTAAGAATAAGAAAAAAAAATGATAAGACTTCGAATTTCTTGAACATTTCGAAATATTAAAAAATTTTAATCAAGGAAGAAAGAATTATAGTGCATTAATTTCCATAAAAATAAAATTAACCCTTGTTTATTGGTTCCGTTGCAGGAAGGATGTCGAAGTCGGGAAGTATCAAGGATGGCGAGAAAGGGCCGTACGACCCGGTTCCAAACACCGACAAAGGCAACGATGAGATCAAGCTCGAGGCAAAAATGTCTTTGTTGAATGGAATCACCGTGATCGTCGGCTCCATTATTGGTTCTGGCATATTCGTTAGCCCGACTGGTGTTCTCAAGTATACAGGAAGCGTGAACGCGAGTCTTTTGGTGTGGACAGCTTCCGGTATTTTCTCCACGGTGCGTTTACCATTCCTCTCTTTCCAATCGATAGCTCGCTTCTCAAGAATTCTTCACTTTATAGATGGAATAAAAGAAGATTAAGAACTTCTCTAAACTATATTTGAAATTTAAATCTTGGATTTTCTTTGAAAGGAAATTGGAAATATAAAATATGGAGAAAAAAATAGAAATATATTGGAAACAACGCTTTTTTAAACTTCTGAGCTTTTTAAATTTTTTTTATAAGTAATTTTTATTATATATTATATATTTCATATTTATATTATATATTTCAATTTAAATTATTCTGAAATTATGGATTTAACTTTTGACAGAATAATTTAGAATGATGATTTTATTCTATTATTTTTGTTATTTTTGGTTTTCCTATAAGTGAAATTGTGAAAAGAATTTTTTAAAATTATTTTTAATATATTTAAAATGAAATTTTTTAATCTGTTAATATATATATCTATTTGCTTTTATTTATTTTTATAAGATTTTTATATTTTCACTATTTAAATCACATTTTATAGATTAATTATGAAATATTTGAAAATAAATAATATTTTGATATTAATAATATATTGAATTATCTTAATCATCTTTTAATTATTCATCTAAGATCATGGTTCTATATATTTTAGTTTATTCCAGAAGAAATTTGATTGATATGTTAATGGATTAATCATGACTTAGAGAGGTTTTTACATATTTATGATAAATTATAATATTGATTCTGGTACAACGTTATTAGAAATAAAATGATAAAAAGTGAAAAACATTGAAGATTCAGTTCAATAACATCATAAAATAACTCACTCTCTCAATAGAACCTTTTTTACAAACATCCACTTTCTCTTTCTACTTTTAACTTCCTATAATTTAAACTTCCTATAATTTTAAAATTAATTCAAATAAAATGATTCGATACGTGAATCATATATATGTAAATATTTTATACATGATAAAACTTCTTATAATTTTTTATGCATGTTATAAAAAGTATTTGTATACATCTTTAATTAAGCTTTTTTTCATCTAAATTTCACTTTCCATATCAGACTTTTATAAAAACATTATTAAATTAAATAAAATATAATATACTCAATTATTAATATGTAAATACTATAATAAATATTATAATAAATGATAATACTTTTTGTACTTATTGTATTATATACACATTGTAATTGAATAAAATTTACCTGTAATTTTGTTAAGCTCTTATCATATTCTTCTTTACAATTTTAAATATCATTGTAATATATATATATACAATATATTTTAAAATATTTATTGCACTACAGGTAGGGGCATACTGTTACGCGGAACTTGGATGCATGATCAGGAAGTCAGGCGCCGATTACGCATATATTATGGAAACTTTCGGACCTTTCCTCGCGTTCATCAGGCTCTGGGTTGAGTGTATGATAGTGCGGCCTTGCAGTCAAGCCATCGTGGCCTTGACTTTCAGCGTTTATGTGCTGAAGCCGGTGTTTCCAGATTGTGCTCCACCAGATGATGCTACGAGAATACTTGCAGCCTGTTGCATCTGTGAGTAAATTATTCTTTTTTTTTAAATATTAAAAATAATTATCATTTCTAATGATATTTAATTGCTATTATTAAGCCTTGAGTGAATTGAAAAAAGTGAATTGATTAATTAAGTGAATAAGAAATAATAATTATTTGAAAATTTATTTAATCTTATATTTATGTTTCATAAACTGCAAAAGAAAATTAAATTTTAAATTAAAAATTAAGATCAAATAATTTTATTGTTAGATTTATAGGTATTTCAATAATTCATTTTATGATTAAATGAATTATTTCTTTGAGGAGAATTTGAATATTAGAATGAATTTGTTGAAAAATTTTTATTTCAATCAATAATTTTATAAATTACTTTGTTATTTATTTACTTATTAAAAAAATGTTTTAAATATTTTTTTAATAAGACTAAAAATATTTAATAATTTTAGGAACAGTTTTGTGATTATATATTTAATAAGTGAAATATTTTAAAAACAATAAGAAAAATAAGAAGAAATAAAAAGTAAATAACCCAATTGCACACAATGCAATCAATTACATGCTGAAAATTGACCCTCAATAGAAGAAGTTAAATCCACAAGAAGAAATTAGGTTTGTTTATTCTCACGGAAATTAAGCTCTTGGCCTTGATCGTTTAATCGATGTGATTCGTTCTATCAGAAGACCCCCCCTCAGAATAGTGGGGCCTTCTAATTGAACCGTCGGATTTTCTTCGTTCCAAGAGCACCATACCACTGTCCACGCAATTGGATACGTTTCATCATCATTCATAACTATCAACCATGATTAATCGAATTACTTTCACTGCTTTATTCATCTTTCTAGCCGACTTTTAACTCCAACTTCTTTTCATCGGATTCATCTCTATTAATTTCAACGATCAATCGTTTATTCTTCATAAAAGCTTCGAATAGGATAAATTTGTTTCTACATACTTCTTCGTATGCAATTGTAATGCAATTCAAAATTGTTGCAATGCAATTGGAAAGGTATTTATCAAGACTTGAAAAAATTACTTTATTATATTTTATAAAATCGCAATTATTATCATATATCATGAAACTTTTTTCCAAACTTATATTAAAATTTTCTTTATAATTTTTTATAAAACTTCTTGTAAACTACTTTGAAAATATATTTAAGCAATCGAAATTAAATATCAATAATATTAAAAATATTTCTCAGGTATTTTAATTTCTCAAAAAGACCTATGAAGCAATGTAAGAGGCTTAAAGAATCTAGAGAGAAATTTCAATGTAAGTGCATTCTCCAAACACGTTCTCCAAGGATCGAAATACCAAGAATGAAAATATTCCTGATTCCTCTAGAATCCTTTTGTTCACAGAGATCGATGATATTCTAATGGTCCATAAGATTATATCCTCATTCTTAATCATTTTTTTTTTTTTTTTACCAGAAAAGAATTGAATCGTTTCTTATTGTGACGTCCTTCGGAAAGTTTTCAAAGATAATGCTGCGTCTCGTTACACGAACAATTTGTAATTCCTTTAATTTCCATCCTTGAGATCGTCTACTTTCCTGTTTTCTCTTAAATAGACGGATGTTCCTTGGAGACTTGATGAATGTTGCTCTTCCGGTTTAATGAATACTCTGGAGAAATCATAGTTTCTCGTTCCTTGCTTTCGAATTAATGGAAAATATAATCAGATATTTTTGAATTAAAACTAAGAGTTTTTTTTTATATTGATTTTTTATATATTGATAATGATATAAACATTTCAGAACTGTTATAGATAAGCATTAATTTTTATTACTCATATATATTCAAATTATATGAATCCCTTAAGTTACTTTAACAACTTTTTATGATTCGTTATGCATGTACAATAGTAAGTTGAACTAAGTTAAAATTTAACAAATTTAAACTTCTTATCACCGAATGATTAACTTTATCAAAAGTGTATGCACCATACCATGCATCAAAATGCATCAAAATGATTGCTTGACAATGCAAATAATACTAAGTACTAATAAAAATATCATTATATTTATCTTCAAATGTTTTGAAAAGTATTTTTCAGAATTAATATAATTTATTCCAATTATTTTTGGAATTTAAATTGTATTTATTTATTTATTTATTTTTTTTTTTTTGCAAAGTATTATAATAACTTGAAATCATCTTAATAGTATTCATCATATAGATATAATTATCATATAGATATAATTAATAATAATAATAAAATTAATAATAAATTTTTACATCTCTTGTTCAAATCTGGTGATTTATTTTTAAATATACAATATACTATCACGTGCATAAAAAAAAAATTAAATCATATGTGAAAATCTTTTTCAAATAGAACCGGTATTCAAAGAGTTATAGTCATAAGAAGTAATCTTAATCATAATGAAATAAGTCAAGATAAATACAATATTTTGATTACGAAAGGATTAAATCATTGGTTGATTAATCGATCGAATTGAAAAAATTCCGATTCGTGCTGGAATTCACGACGATCGAGTAATGACGGCCTTCGAGACCGTTGTTTCCTTTTTTAACGAGCAAGTATAGCATGTGTAATAATGAGACAAAACGTTGCATGCCGGTATCATGTACTACATAAGAAACATTCCGTGAACACTTAATGTTTTTTCGAATTACAATAGGAATAATCTCGAGTGATCTCCTTCCTCCGGAGCATTCATTAAACCGAAGAGAACGCTTTCGAGAATCGTGCTAGATGGAATTTCCGTGTTCAATGCCGTGTCCATGGTGATTTCCAATTGCAGAAATCAGTTCGTAATATACACAATTACTTTAGTCGAATTTTTCCATTAATCATACAAATTTTTATCATGGAATTTCTCCATTGAGTAATTATTTAATCATGCACGTAGTATATAGTTTAATATAGTTTCATAATCTTATTAATCATGTAAATTCTTATTTAAAGAATAAAAAGAATTTCATTTATTTCAAAAAATAATTATTTCTTTATAAATGTTGATATTATCTTGTTCAAAATTCTTATTAGATATAACATATATATTTATTTATTTTTTTTTAATACTAAGCATGAAAGTTATTCTTAAAATTAGTTGATTGTCATGATCAATTGATTAAGACGTAATATTTTGATAATACTTTTAATATTATACGTATATGAATGATTAGATAATTAGATACTCGATGGAGAAATTCTCTTTGATAGAAAATTCTTCGTGTGATTAATAAGATAGTAAAATTGTGACATGCATATATGCATGAGTATTTGATAGATATTTAATTGATTTTATGATTGTTTTCTATTTTTCCTTTCCAACGTTTTTATTTTTCAAATATTTTGCAATTCTTTTACATCATGTTCGCCACCACGCGTCCCGCTTATTAATATTTATGAAATTTTTTTTTTTTGTATTTAAGATAGTCATGCATAAATTATGACTATTTTGCATTTATTACATTTTTCAAATTTTTGTGCATGTGAAATATAAAATAATATTTTTTTGTTTTTAAGCAAATGGTAATAACAAATATAAAACACGTAATTTGTCATCATCAATCAATCAAAGTAAAATCATCGAGAAAAATCAATAATCAACTTGCCAACCAACAATTTCATTTTTTAATCCGTGAATGAAAAAAATAAATCACATTACTTATTCCGTGGTAAAGGCGGAAAAAGTATATATTTTTCGGGAATCCTTCCGAATGAAATACCGCAGAGAAGATATCGAGTTCCTGTGGTCACTGGTGTCTTCCTCCTTTAGATTTCCATCTTATGTATCACTTTACAAATGCCCAACACGTGCCCGAAAAAAATATTTTCTTCTTCCTTCTTCCTCCTTCTCTTTCTGCGGACAAAACGTTCCGAAAAAAGAAACTGCATTAGATTGCGTTTAAGGGAAAAATATACACGACTTTGTTAGTGAAACGTGCTTCCCACTCATTCGCGCAGCGAAAGGTACAAGAATCGAGGCTGATTCGATTGTCGAGGTTTCACAATGTCCTTATCTCTTGGAATAATTATTTAGCTAGTTTTTGCGTTCTGTGTTTAATAAGGATAATAACGATCGATTATAAGGGAATATTCGAGATTAGAAGAGTTTCGATATTGATTTCATTATGAAGGAATTTTAATTAGTAGATGTATATTCAGTTGGTGGAATTCTTTTTAATAATTAATTATTATTAATTTTCTTTCATTTCTTTTTTTATCTTAATAGAATATTTGAAGTTAAAAAATTTGTTGCTTAGGTTTAATCATGGTGGAATTTAAATTAAGTGTATTTTCATTCTTGTTAATTTATTTTTTTTGTTTTTGTTTATTTGATAAAATAGTAGAGGTTAGAAAATTTTTAATTTCGGCAGAATTTTAATTGATGAAATATATTCATTTTAATAGAATTTTTATTGAATAATTAATTTTTGTCGTTTTTTTTGAAATCTAATTGAATATTTGAGGTTAGAAATTTTGGTTTATTTTATAGATTTTATTATTTACAGGTATTTTTAATTTGAATTATTTTTAACAAATAATTGAACATATTCTATCTGTTTTGTTTCATCTAATGTAAAATTAAATTCTTTATAAATTAAAAAACATGCTTCAATTAATATTTTGAATATCAACTTATTATTTTTTAAATTTTCTATTTAATTTATACCACCACTTACATATAAATTTCATAAAATTAATTGTATCATAAATCACATTAAAGATATTCTCTGAAATATTATCAGTAAGAAATGTTACTTATCTGTGAAGTAGAATAGCCATAAATTTAACAGTACAACTAATATCAAATAATTACATGATTCTAATAGTATTAATCATATTTATAACCACTTAACATGCATTATAACATGCACAATTACTATCATTATCAATTTCTTCATAAATATCAATATCAATACCATTATTAATAGCTTCATCAATATTAATATCAATTTTAAAATTTACATTATTATAATACCTCGTATTAATATCTCAATATTTTATCTGAACAATATTAAATATATTAAAATAACAATT